TCTTCATGGCTGCGCCAGTTAAATCGTATAGTGCGGATAAAACAGATGAATTCCGAGCTGACCTTCAAATTTCACGTAGATTCGGATAAACATTTGACTTTACAGAGACTCAAAGGAAGAACATTGCTTCGACATAAATTAAGTACACGTGCTTTTCCTAAACAGAGCCAACATGATCATAATTCAAGATTTAAGTAAATGCATTTTCAGTTGACCTAATGCACATATGGTGCTCGGCTATTCCTGTGTGTAGTGATAACCTTTTTCCTAGGAGTCTGGAGTGCTTTCGGTTACAAGGTCCTTTCGGAAAGCTGTCAGGTGCGTATCTTTGGTGCTGTAGCCGAAGCTTAATAGAATATTTTAGCTTTACAATAATGCGAACACTGAAGTAATTGCTAGTCAGAATGGGCATGCCTCCGAAGCTCGAGGCTGTCTTTTTAATTAAGTTTTACTCTTCAAATTAACTTATTTGCCATCGGGCTTTTACTGAAAACGTCGTTTCTTTATAAACGCGTTTTTAACTTTGAATCCGTTGTGATTCGAGGCTTGAATGCAGACTTCACATAGAGAGAAGTTCTCGCCAGTGTTAATATGCGGATGAACTTTTGGCTGAGTACGAGTGTTAAACACCAGTCTACTGATTTACAGCACGAACGTAAACGTGCTTATTGTAAGACTATACGTATTGTTATCAGTACAGTCATTGCCGATGAGTTTTCATTGTCATGTAATCAATTCTGAACCCTTCTCCAGCAGGAAACTGTGACCCAGTTTAGGTTGCATCCTTAGCTGATGTTGTACGCCCACTCTGTGCAGCGACGTTGTGACGCACGTCGAAGTTCACTAACTTTTTGGCTTTATCTCTGAGTAGAATCATTGGTACCAGCCGAAATCAGCGTGTGAGATAATCTCGGGGGTTCGCTGTGAATACTTAATTTTGAACAAACTCTGCAAATATGAGTTTGTTGAGAGTCCTGAAAGTCGCTAGAAGGTTCCTGAGATGCACTTGAAGAGATTTGCATATAGCAAATGATTCTTATCGCTAATGTTTGTAGCTGCATCGTTCCTGAACGCTTATTGAGGAGATAGGTGTTTTATCAGGTTGTTGTCGTATCGCTGGTGTCTGTTTGATACGACCGATGCTGAGCTCTCTATCTTTAAAATTTAACCCTGGCTTTTTATTTTAGCTAGGGTTAGTTTAGTTTTCGTATGAAGTAGCTGGTACGCGAATATAGAATATAGTGACCAGTCTGCGTGGCGCGATTTCGAGCGAAACGATCCTGCTATGGTGACTTTTAAAAAAGTACATCATGTAATGGTAAGGGATATTCGTGATCTGCCCATAGAGCGTCCGCTCGATTAAATCACTATTTTATAATACTCGCATCATACGATGTTGTCAAACTGGGTCATTGCAGCTGGGTGCGGTAAGCAGCTTATCTTGGGCTCATATACGAAAAAGTTAAGTTGATCTAAAAGCCTTTAGCCGTCAGGTCTAAGCCAAGCGTAAATCCGCACCGGCCTTCCGCTTTTCTGAGTTTGTCTTGCCAAAGAACATCGTTATTTCAGCTAGAAGTAGCCTATCTACCGCTTGTAACAAGTCTACTGATATTTATGTTATGATACTGATCTTCTTTTTCCTTAGATTTTTTGTCATGCCAAACGGGGTATTCACAACGGTGTAGCACTAAATTAGCATTAAAAACAGCGAGTTTATCAATCGAATTTATTTTTTCGTCTTTGGCGCCTCTACATCAACTTGTTAGATGTGTGATTACTTCTAGTAAGTAGTTCCCTTATTACACTCGTACTCACTACATACTTACCGTTCATGTAGTTGCTTTCCTTACGTTAGTGTGGGAGCTTAGCATTTAGATGGAGCTGTCTTAGGATACAGCCGTCACACGAAACGGAGGATGCTTTACAAAAATTCAATTACCTGATCGCATTACCATACAAGAGCTAGATACGTAATATCCGACATGACAGCATACAAATGGTTGGCTTATTTTCTATTTATTTTAACATTTAGATCTTAGATAATAATCTCTGACCTTTCTGTCGGACCTTGCGAAATATTGAGCCCTGGGAATCGGACTCAGAATGCAGAATCGTTGTCGGTACTGCTAGCGTTACGCGTATGTAAATTTTTGCAATAACTCCATGGCGCTATGAGTTGCTTGAATTGGCAAACACAGAGGCCCCGAGACGCAAAGTGAGTAAATAAACCAAGGAAGAGGTAATTTTGTTTCACATATAAGTAGAGATATTTGATTTACTGTTAAAGGATGTTGTTTTTATATTATTGTCCGTTAGGCAGGCCAAATCAAATCTCGTATGCCCACGTGTTTGGCCTTTATTTTTTCCTATTTATATTCATTTGAATGACGGCGGTTCCGTGAGAAATAAGGATTTTTTTCACATCAAAAAGCAATATGACCGGCAAAGGTATCTTTCAGTCATCTACATTACATTAATTTGTCCTAGAGGTTACACCATCGAGGATTAACGCTGCACCTAACGTATAGAGGACCACGGCACCATGAAGGTGATACAGCAGTTGCTGACAATATTACCTTTCAGAAAAGCGTTCTTTGCTTTATATTTTCAAAAAACAAAACATAACTGTACTAGCAGTTGTGTGTTTTTTTTTTTAAAATCCGCGCACAAGTTTTTCATGTTACCGAAGCTGACGAGATAACTTAAATTTCGTATGCAACAAGAATAACTCGCCACTGAACGCGATAAGATGAGACCCATTGGGGTACTTAGTCTGATTAGAAAAGCTTTTGTAATGGGATGGTAAACTTGTTCCTTCTGTAGTTCGTATGTTTTGACGTTCTCATGGCAAACCTGGAGATCACTGGCTCCAAGTAAACATTGAAGGCATCTTTAGCAAGACCGTAAATGAGCTCAGGTCAGCTAGTGCTCTTGGCTTAAATAGAAGGATTCCATTGTAATTGCACTAAACTAGAAGGAGAAGACAGAAACTATAGCTCTGACGAGTGTCGCGGAGCCATTGGAGTAATACTATCGTATTACTATAGATTGGACAACCTCACTATTGGCATCACGCAATGCGTTATACGAAATATTAAATAAAAGTAGCCACATATACATCATAAAGTTAATTTGTTTTCAGATGAAGATTACGTGACTATCTAAACTGTCCATAACCTAATTAACCTAGTTAACTCTGGAATTCTTTCGCGTTAAGAGCACTCACCCTTTAAACAATCTACATATATAAAACAAACATGTAGGGACAAAAAACAAGTGTTACACCTGTATCGAAACCTACAGGTACTGCTTCTTGATGCTACCTTTATACTAGTTATGATTTTAAGTTATTTTCTGCAGCTAAAAAGAAAGTTGATAGAAAAAAAGACATTGTGTTTCGAGGAATATGGCATGGGCTGGTAACCCAGAAGATAATGCGCTCCACTTCTAAAAACTCCAAAGAGCACTTGGGTCCCTGTTGCTCCTGTCTCTGCCCAAATTTCAAATGTACGGTATTTTAATCAATATGTCAAGTGCATATTATTTCTAGAAGTAAATATTTCTCGACTCTTCTGACAAATACACTTGACACATTTTGCCTACCTGAGATCGAAGAACGATGTGTATTCTTCATTCAAATACGAGCTATTTAAATACGTTTAATCTATATTGTATAAATAACACCAGCTTACCCATAGATTAGCCCAGTTGCGAAACATTGCCAGGTGTAAGTTGAAATATTCGATGCGTTTCGGTGCCAGAGCTTGAAGTAGGGACTCCTGCTCTTTTCCAGCTGAGAGCTTAGCCGTCCAATCCGCTGCGTCGAGGGCAACATATCCCTATGTTAACTAGTACGGGCCGTCCTTAGCTCTAAGGATTTGATAACCGACAACGGGGTTGCTATGATTTTGACCACTTATCCGTTTTCCTCACGGCTGTACTCGCGCGAGTGGCCCACAGCGACTCGGTCAATAACGACGTAGCTGATATGTGTTTTTCAGGTCAGCAGCTGACGCAACGCAGGCCGCCTTTACCACCGACAGAAGCACACGCCTGATACATCTGACAATTATCCAGCTGAAAGGAGCCTGAATCTGTTCGCATTTGCTCGACGTTTATGTCTGGTGTCCTTATTGAAAGCTTTATCGTCATTGAATAGTGTATTCAGTAATATTCCATAGTTGGACTATTGATAAATGACAAGAAATTTCGTTGCTGAGTACTTCGATCCCTACGTAGCGGTCACGCCTTCATCCGCTATACTCGGTACCAAGAGGTAGCCAGTTCTTCTTAGAATAAAACCACAAGTTCATTGCAATAGAGGTCGAAAAAGAACTTACCAAGTAGTCTTTTCAAGTTTGATGATTTTTTTTTTTTAATATATGGAAACTTTATGGCGAAGTGTTCAGCTTAGTTTATTATGATTATTATTATCCTTATCGTGTCAAATAATTTTTAAACATCTGTCCAAATGCATCGAACCACAGCGCTCGATGTGTTTCGCATGACTTCATTGGCGCTCTTTGCATTTTCTGTCCAATTACTTACAATTAGTGACTTTTTCCCTCACCGAATACACTCCTTACAAACGTTAGTGTTACCCAGAGAGAATGTCACGGCTACTTAGTCGTATTACGTTACGAACCAAAGGTTCATCTTCTCTGAAGCTTACTAAAATTTATAAAACTTATCTGTGAGCGTTGACGCCAATAGCTAATACGGTTAGTGATGTTGAAAGGCGTATAATGAGATGTAAATTATGCACTTGATCTTATAGAGTTCGCTACCCATTAATGGTAAGCACGTCGTGCACGGTGCGGTACGAACGAGCGAGTACGCCTAGCACCAACAGTAACTATAGCTATATCAATCATAGAGGAAACGCCTTTGATAAATGTCATACAACACGATCTCGTAGCGATAATAGAAATAACCCTTCTAGTTCATTCGTATAAATAGAGTTCGACTTTCATTAAAGCTTTAGGCTTTACATCGAATATTCAATTTATTGAACATTGTTTTATGTTACAAATTCACCGGATATGTCTTTGCGTTTTTAAACTGATATATAAGTCCATGTGGCGGCCATGGTAGCGGTACAAAATTGCAAAGGACAATCTCTAATTCGACCCAATCAATCATTGATTGATTGATTGATTGATTCACACACTGCAACGAACACTCGAGCGTGTTTTGTGCATAACTTACACTTGAATTTGACTCACGTCGAGAATAAGTTATCCACGTGCGCGTATCGAACCCTACGGGATTCACGCCGCTTTCGATTGAGTGGTTAAGCTTGTCAGAAACAAACAGATCATTCCGGGTAGTCACATTTAACCGTTGTAGTATTTTACGAAAGGCATACGCTCATCTGTATAATATCGTAAACTAAATTATAGTATAAGCACTAATTTAGTTATATTAAAAATACGCTAGGTATTAAAAAGTAATTACATGTCTTATCCGTACACAATACACTTAGTATTAACTATGAACTCGGACCAGCTCCGATCGAGCTTGTCAGCTCAAGACGATGAAAGCTTCATGGTACAGCAGGCTTACTGTTTTTACTGTGAACTTACTTATCGTCGAAAAGTTCGTCCCCGTTCGAATCGTTGAATATTCCATCACAGTTTTCTTTTTCGTGTCGTTCAATATGCGCAGTGAGTGTTTGACCATTCGAAGTTTCGAATGGACAGTGTGGACACTGTAGCTGATTCGGGTCAGCATGGAGGCGGTAATGAAGCTCGAGAGTTTCCCTGAACTCGAAGCATTTGTCACATTTCCAGCACCTGTACTCTTCATCCTGGTGATGCGAATCTTCATGGCGTTTGAGAGTGCTGCTCCACATGAAGAACCGCATGCAGAACTGGCACATGAAGCGTCTGTCATCTGTGTGTACTCGCATGTGACGCGTTAGGCTGGCACGAACCATGTAGCTATTGGAACACTGTTTACACTTGAATCGACTCATTTTGATGACTACTTCGTTAACGCCTCGATGTGCAAAGCCATTTTATGTCTTTTTTGGCGATATTTAGCAAACTAGACAAGGGGAGCCGTCGCAACATATCTTGGGTAAAATTACCTCTTGGATGTATTCGTTAATTGAAGCGATGAAACAAGCTGAGATCGACCCTAAACACACACACACACCGTGCACAATAGCTGGGTCGAACGAACGTGCTATTTATTCAAGTAACACAACTGATAATGGCAGACGATGTTGGCAGGGCGCAAACCACGCCAACGCTATAACCATATGAGGCTGCGATGATACGGACATTGTGGCCTGCTTGAAATGTGCGGTCGCCGGTTGTTGCAGGCCCCCAAAAAATACTACAACTCTATCAAATTAGACACAAAAAAAAAATGCTAGTTCTAATCTTTATGTCGCCAGTACGACGATTAAACATTCGTGAGTATTACGATTATTCTCGTTGTGTGCGGAGTATTGTGTTTTCGAATCAGGGCTGTATTTTATGCTCACAGATAATGATAATAATAAACAATAAGGTTTATTTTTATTATCTGGTGTGTGGTTTTCAGCGACGCTAGATATAATAATACCGACAACACTCGTAGCATAAAGGACATGTACTATAGCTGCACACCTATGCCCCATTAGCATTCAAAAGCCATTTGTTCAACAGAATAACGAAACAAATACCTAGCGTACTTTAGAGCTTATCTGTGAGAAATCAGCGTGCAGAAACATTGCTCAAGTTCAATCTGAAATATTGGTTGAAATGAAGAAGCCTGTAAGTTGAACCATAATCCTGTTTTGCGTAACAATACCTACTCTATCCAAGTGTTCAATAATATGTGTCGTAAATGAAAAGAAACACTGCAACAGGTGCCGTATGAGGGAACTCCAGTACTCCACTTAAGCTGAGGCTGGTTAACGTTTCAGTATCGACTAGGATGTCCGTGATTATGGAATAGTAATGTGTTTGTCCGCAGAATTAAGAAGTAGTTTAGACTCAAAACAATGACGTAGGCATCCCCGGTTTCATGTATGAAGAAGCCGACAATCCAGCCAGCCCACTAAAGCAACGCTTAGCGGCGATGCTTAACGTAACTTTTTTTTTTTTTATTTAATACCAATAAAAATACGGTATGTGCTCAGCAGTAGACATACGCTTTTCTCTGAGCGCGCTGCCATAGTTAATATGCCTAAAAAGCATGCCAGCCGTCGCTAGTGAAGGTCCCATAGGCCTCATAGTTGCATTGGAATAAACCCAATGTAAGTCCAACAAGGATGGCCGATTTTAAAGAAAAGATTTGAAAAATTTGCCTATATAGCAGAATAGCTGACGATCAGCTTGAAGAAGATACGGTTGGTTCAGAAAAGTATATGTACTGAACGTCGTGATTTTCAGAAATTGCCATGTGAAGACACGGACGTTTAACACCCTAACGGACCGGATTTGAAACCATGCCTCTTGCAGGTATTATGCTCATATCGAACTAACTAAATGGCATCAAAAATTGACAGATGATAAAATACACCTTTTTTTTATTTATTATTACTTATTTATTTATCACCTTAGCTTGGGTCGACGCTAGACTTCAATAAATTGTGTAAAATGTAAAAAAACAGTAGTTACGTGAAGTTTGTGCAAAGGATTTAAGTGATTCTAGTGGAAGCGACTTGAAAAGTGACGTTCGTGCTCTATTTTTCTAAATGACGATTGCGGCCAGAGATTTGAGCACAAGATCCAGAAGTGACTATGGTGAATGCATTGTACAATAGAATCCTAGCATCGGACAGAGAAGTTAAGCTAAAGGTTTCTGGCACAAACATGCGGCTTGAAGGCTTATTTCTACCCATGCGTTTCGATTGTTACTAGGTCCACAACGTAATCAGAACATAAGCTTCGGTGCTGATTCACCAAGCCTATATATTGTAAGGGCATAGTGTCTACGGTCGCATATATTATAACCAATCGGTTGGGTTTCGCAGCAGTATCCGTGGGGATTATTGACACACCTTTTAAACTGAATCAACCCGCAAAAATACGCAGTGGTAACCATATATAAGGTTTTTTTGTCGATGGCTACCTTACGTATTTAACCGGACTAAATCAATTAGACGAAATGTCTAAGTTTTCCAGATGCAGATGCGATAAATTCAATAATTATCATGGGCACACAATGAACAATCCCTTTGAAGTCTGACCGGTGGCGGTAATAATTCTTTTTTTTTTTTTTTTTTTTTCTGTCTTTATTGCCCTAAAAAAACACGACTCTGCCACTTGAACCTAATCTAGTACGGTGAAATTACTTACGAAAAGAATGTTATTCCTCATTTATGATACACATTAGTAATATAAGAGTGCGAGAACCTAACAAATGCAACAACAGAAGCCAGCGACTATATACTATCAGCAGCATTAAAAATGATGTTTTAACGCAATTGGTAAAACGGTTAGATGGTCTTTTCGTCTCTCTGCACGACGAACGCAACTTAATTTTAAAAGAAAAACCCTCCGTTCTCGTCAGAATGGTTTATTTGGTTTTGTCCTGCTTTTTCCTATGGACAACTGAATTAATTCCTGGCGAACCTTTATAGCAGTCTATTTATATACTGCCTGCTTTGTATCGTTCATGCTACATGAATCTAAACAAATGAAATCAGATCAAGTAAAATCGGAGCTTCCGATGCAATGTAATGCTGTTATACAGAGGGGTCACTCTGCATCACCATGTCCCTGTTCTCGTTTATATTTATCTTCAGTATTAGTCATGTGCAAACGTTTCCTTTTTTACCATAGAAACAACGATACGCATACGTCAAAGCGAATGCCTTTATCAAGCTTACGTGGGATTCATCTTCCTGCCATTAAGAACGCACGCAGACGACCCCTGCCTGTTAGAAAAAAACCTTAAGGTCGTTGAGTCGTCCATCTCTTCTTGTGTCTTAGGTTCCAGATATATCGAGTTTAAAAGCGTTGTTTTGTTCCAGTGTCGTCGAATGCTTCTGTATTCAAATATTGCTCATTTATTTTTAATCTAATTTATAATCCTGGTTACTTCATCTCTATTTTCGCTATAGAAAAAACACTGAAGTCAGCAGCGTTCATCATGCAGCTCTTAGGTTTTATGCTTTCATCTAATAAAAACAGTTATTAACGAACGAAGTCAAAATGTACACCCGTGTTGTAAACGTGAACTTGTTCAGAGAAAAAAGTTAACTAAGTTTAATTAAAGGCCTAAAAAAGTGGACAGGTAAACAGATTTGGAATTTACCGAAGTCATTTTCTGATCGACCTCATATAGTCGATGGTCCTAGAGATAGGTCACATTCCGTTATCCTACTGGGGCTAGTTGGAAATTTGCTAGGAGGGAGAATGAACAGCCCCATCTAGCAGGTATATTTATCTCGAATGTAACCAGGATAAGACCGAACAGAATGCTATTTTACTTATTCATGGCCTAAACATATAAACAAATCGTCCTAAAATTCAATGAACTAACTAATCATGTGTTAATGAATGGTGCATCTATTGCAGTGGCTTATTGTCTTTTTTTTTTGTTTTTTTTTTTTTCGAATTAGCTGACTCGATCCCGTTAGTTTATACTGGTGCCTTTAGTGGAAACATCTGAAGATTAAACATATCTCTATAGTCTACAGTTCTTCTAGAGACACGAGAATTCTAATTATCGCAACGGCCGCATTTCAAGCGGTTCGATATGCTTCAAAAGTTATATTTTATCCACTGAAGAGTATGCTTTATTAAAAAAAAGGGTTTGCTGTCAAACGATATGACTGGGTCATAAGTTGGTGGGTTGTTGCATCTCCTTTTTCAATTTCGTCAATTTGAAAATATCTGCCTTCCGCATAGCGAACTCTGCTGGGCCTCAAATACCAGCGGCAAATGCCTCCTATAGCTGGAGAAACGCTTTGTCATATAGCAACAACTGCACATTTGGAAACTGTATGGCTACGAAACTGAGCAGACACACGTAGCGATTTTGCCGTTTTTTCGCGATTATGAGACTTTAGTGCCACAAGCTCAGGAGCACTCCAGGCTATGAAATCCCCGTCTAAGAAAATAGGTCGCTAATAAAGCTGGGTGGCGTTAAAAACCATTGTTTTTGTGTAGGTTAGGTCTAATAGCTTAATAAGGCAGTATTCACTACTCGGCTGAATGGGAATTGACGTATAATTTGTTTTACTAAGGCAACTTTGTCTAGAATTAACAGCTCACCATAACAAAAGACGTCAACTCTAATAATGATAAAATATGTGATAGCTTGCATTAGATGGAGCTGCTTCCTAACAGTGGATTCGACACTTACATCCTCGTACCTGTGAAAAAATCGAAACATTATGTTTCTTTATTAGCTCACCAATAAATTACGTACAGCATTTTTAAGTATAATCTTTATTCTTTCTCAAAAAAAAGTAGGTGTTTGTATGAAAACTTCCATTCACTATGCCATTTTACTGGGAGCTGAAGTTCTTTGTGCTTTGTATTTATGCTTATTTCGAGCAACGTTTACGCAAAAAATAAACGCGATTGATAGATAATAGATAAACCAGACTGTCGCTCATCATCTTCGTTTCAACCACCTACGATCTTTCTAATTAAATCTTATAACTACAACTGATGCGAACATCAGAGAAGATGATGTCCTCGATAGTAACGGTACCGACAGCCCCACAATCCGTGTAGGAGAAAATACTAATCTGTTCAATAACTTACGGTTCCTGTTTCTTCTCGAACTCCATTATAGACTGCTGAATGATGTTCTTGCATTGTGGGGTCGCACAGCGGATCGTTGTTTGGCTTAGTGACGGAAGTATTCCTACAGGGTACTGATTAATCAAGACGGCGGTACGTATGGAGCGAATCGGCCATAGGTTCCCTTTGCGTCCCTCGCTTGAGCCCTAGTAGCCATAGAGTTCAACATTATTCTTCTATTCCAGCAAACATCAATCGGCATACTTGCATGCATCAGAGAAAATTTTCCTTTGCCATACACGGCAAGCGGATTCCGTCACGCCCAGTAGGGTCATAGAAGGTGAGGTTATTTGGCCTTTGTGTACATTCTGACTCTTCTGACTTAGCTATTTACATCAGGTCGACCTAAGTTTTTTAGCGCCTAATGCCGTCGAAAGTACGGTGTAATTTTGAAGGACTATGCCGCCCAGCAGGGAAACGACTCCAGAGCATAGACAGCCCAAAACATCGATTATAAACATCAACTGTACGACAGTCGCGTGCGATAGGGAACCGATGTAAGTGTACAGGTGGAAAACGTGTCTGTTTCTATCCCGAGTCCAAACGTCGCTTTAAAGAGAGAGGGATATCTGAGCCACACTTTCAGCCGACTAGAACAAGCACTCCAGTCAAATTTGCTTGTTCAATATCAGGAAGGTCTGCGGTTCCAGATATAGACGCTATAGATGCGATCATTATGGTGTACTCAATCTAGCTTTTTTCTCCATGCTGAGGCCTACTCATTGACGTCGGCCACGAGTTCATTATGTAAAATTGTATTAAATATGAAGTCAAAGCCTATTTTTCTAACCAATATGCTACGTTTGATAGCTGATTATATGCGTATTACCCTATGAGAAAGCACGCTGCCTTTAGCAACGTTACCGAAACTAAAAATATTTTTGTCCTTATGTGATGCGTCTGTATAATAAAAGCTAAGGTCACTGACAATTGGCACACAGATCCTCACAATAAGTGAGGCTTTAGATTTCCGACGGGTGTTTATTTTAGACAGTAGACATTTACCTAAAAATATTTTCTACACATAATTTAATACAATTTTATTTATTATATTGACAACGTCATGATGCAACCAATAATCGCATTTCAAAATTTCTTAGCTATCTAGAATGTGTCCAAAGTGCATCAAGAGGTCTGACCCATGTTATACATTGTTTCCATGTAGAACATTCGTAATGCTTACGGCACAGAAGTACCTTGTAGAAGCTGTTGCCGGCTTATACAACACATTTCAGATCTTCAGTCTTGTTCCGCCTGTGGGGTGCACAGAGAAATGAAATCGAAAACAGAATCAATCCGAAGCAAAAATGTCACACCTGAACAGCGAACTGCTTCTCGGATCCCAGAGTCAAGAACCCGGGTTGAAATCGTGGTGGCAGCTTGAGCCGATTCTGCAATGCGTAATAAAGACACGACCTGCTCGCGGAATACATGCAGCACATACAGGCACAGTAGAGCGAAAGTACGAGGTAGGTTTTCGTGAAGTGCGCTAAGGCCGGTGGAAAATCGTCGCTTTGGTTCGCCTAGCATGCTACATAGATGTGATATAATCTATGATGAAGAACAAATGTGAGCGTACTATTTACATTAAAGGTAAGCTCGCTATGTACCTCGTCGTTCAACACATTAATGCGTACAAGTATCCCCTAAAATCAGAACGCTGTACGTATTATGTAGGGCGTCTCTTAAGCAGAGTAAGATTTTTTTGCAGACTTCTGGGTGTCGTATCTCATTGAAGAGGCATATTTTAAGCGTGTCAAGTTGAAAAATTATATTTTCTGTCATCATAAATTCGCTTTAAAAGTTTTGCCAAGCATTCAAGAGCTCATGAGAAAAATATGCATTCATTGATGCGATGAAAAATGGGCTAGATATTTACATAATTAAGTTGAAAAAATATATTCATCCGCGAGGATGACTTATTTTGTGAAATTTCCGACACGCATTTTTATTCCCCACTAGTTTACTCGTAACTATGCCCTCCACATACTGAGTTGTTTGGATTTGTTAAGTTATCAGCTTACAATCGTAGGTCTAAGTATTTACCAAATTTCATCTGCTAATGATGCATAGTTAATACATTGTTCCAAGTTTTCAGCTCGCTGAATGGCTCTAGACTGAAATTACCTGATCATTATTAATTATTTAAAACAAACCAATGACCACATACGCGATTTTCTAAACAATTTTTATGGAACCGGCAGCAATAAAGGACTAGGGTAGGTGATTGACCTAAAATACACATTACATTGTTTAAGCAATCGTGTCCTGAACGATACATACATATACGATATATATATACATGCCTGTATTGCTTATATGCATTGCCATACACTATTTTCAGCCAGGTGATAAAGGTTTACACTTGATAACTTAACGTTTCAATCGATGTCGGCTTTCCTTTCATAAATATTTAAGTTATCACTGACATTCATTAGAGCCAAAGACAGCGATAATCTGCGACTTAGCAGATTCTTTCGCCTGTGAATATTGTTTCGTATGTGCAGCGGTTTTTTTTGTCTCGAACTATATTCTAGTTACTAGGTAGCAGCAAGCGGTCGGGTCTTATTTTTTTTTTATAGCTGATAACTTAACAAACCCAAACAATTATTCAATTCGATATCTAATGAAGGTTCTTTTTTACGAGGGCTTGGCTATTATTGTTGGCCATTTTTTATGCTTCATAATTCATATCATTTGAAACAATTGGGCTTAAAAGTATCTTAAGTTTTTTTGTATTGCTAAATGCCTATTATTTAGCGAATTCCTATAATTTCTTTTCAAAAGTAATTTGAAAATAAAAATAAGAATTTCTATTATCCTCAAAATTTAGAAAACGTATGACAAAGGGTATGGGGCAAAGAACGTCAAGTGAGAGGACGCGTACTGATTTGAGTTCGCCTCTGAAACGCTTCGACGTTACCCTACGCATGTATACTTAACGCATAAAGCGTTTCATAAGTGTACCGTGAAGTGTTAGAATTAGATCAGGGTCACAGACATTAGGGGTCATTAGGTTAACCTGGCAACTAAAGGTATACTGCAGAAGCACGCAGCCCTAGACAATAGCGGATCTTAAGATTATTATAAAATAAAAATCATATGGGCCCTAGACGAGGGGTCTGAGACATATTTTTACGTAAAATTCTGGATTAAAAAGTTAACTAACTCTGCTCGCTTGTTCCAGTGGGAATATCTTGCTGTAGGCTTCTCATTTGTGAGCCCCGTAAATCGCTAACCGCTAACAATTCAGCAATCGTCAGAGCATTAATATTTCGACAATTTCTAACAACCATAAGTTTTTCCTATCTAAAACGTTGTTGGTCTTTGGCCGATCTCGGCCTGAAGTCACTTAGAATGATGCAAGCTATAAAATGCCCACCATTGGCTTCATAATCTTTCATCCTGCTTTACTACTTGTGAGTAGTAGCAAATCAAGTTTTTCGTTGTCTCAGACCGCTGAATGACTAATTACATTGCCGAAAACGCTCGCCTTACATTTGAAGCACTCTTGTGAACCAGCCGCAGAGTTTCCTTTTCAAATCTTATATCATTCTTTTAGCTTTTTCGCTGCAATCTGTGTTGAGAACGAAAACGAACGAAAACACAGAGTGTTTCGTTACTTATGGCATATGATGAAAATATTTTTTTTTAATCTTGTTGTCAGTCTTACATAGACTATTTTTTTTGTTAGTTCCATTTTTTACATAATTATAGCACGTAACGACGACCTATTCGAAAACAAACGTTTTATCTTAATTTCAAGCTTTACTCACTTTTATTTCCTTTAAACGGGTGTGTCTGAAACGATAGAACACTCGAACGCTTTCGAGAATTTGGATTTTTTCTATTTGTATACGATTGTATGTTCTCAGCCGCTGTTTTGGTTATAATTTTTATTATTTAATCCGACACGTGTAAGTTCTTCTATACCGTACCGTGCTTTCGTGCAATTCGTTCCGATAGGCTTTGTATATTTGAGCCGGTCATTGTTTTATACTATCATTTATTACTAATTTAATTTTTACGTATCCATACATTTGTTTGCCTACTCATCTTTGTCTTTGTTCATTTCTTAGAGTCAGTCATGTTTACCTTTTCCCTTTCGTAATATACAATGGATACTTTGTTGTTATTTTTAGAAAATTGTCTACTGCCCTCGCGGGAGCTATCAAAGGTTTCACGGGGCGTTAGGTCTGTGTGAGACACGGCTCAATCCAACTCACCATACTTCATCGTGGTGTTTTCATCAATGAAATTGCTTAAGATGAGCAAACGCTTGAGCGACACGTTCGTATTTGACGAACACTCCACATATCGTAAGACGAAATCCACGAAAACTCCGAGCAGTAAAAGCGAACTTTCCATAACCGGTTGGGTGGTTGAGCTTATCCAATAATAAATAGCAGATAGCAATCGAAGTTCAAGGGATGACCTATACGCATACAACAGAAAGACTATTACAGAAGTCATGACAAATTTACTAGATAAATGAGGAATAAAGTGATACAATTTAATTGTCAAGTAGTTTAAAGTATGCGAATGGATTAACTCTATCACAACATCAATGATTAAATAAAATCGTGAATTAAGTGTTATATACGATAACGCTAAGATACAACAAACGGGACGGTGATGCTTCATTGCAAGAAGACACACAGAAACACGTCAGTGCTGCATGGCAACATAGCAATGGTGGACATAAGTTTATGTCATTAAGTGACTTTATATTGTTTGAAGAGAGTGATGTAAAATGACATTAGATCAATAGTTAATGATTTTTTTGTGTGATCATGGACATTTTCGACTGGTCCTTAGGACACAACATGGATGACGGATGCCAACGAAAAGAACTTTATTTTTGAAATTGTCAAATTTTCAATTGAAAGATATTGATAGCGAAACAATTTAACTAACACCGTAGCCCACAACCTTTAAAGCAGGAACAAACCAGAGATAGCCGGGGGTTTGCCATATCCTTGCCATATATAAATGGGAACAGTATTAAGCTCTTGGACGCTTCGCTGGCCAATTCTACCAAGCTAAGCATTCATGTCTGCTAATAGTGTTTGAGCTACATAGAAGTGACTTCACCCACAGTATGAACTTGTAGGGTATATAGGGTGTTCAGAAATGACGTAACCTTACGGGAAATATGGAAATAGTAAGATCAAAGCTTTGAACCAAGCGTGCCATGCAGCTTATTTTCTGTTGTACAAGTACATTCAAATATATATTGTGATGTTTACTTTAAGTTACAAAATCTAGAAAATCGTCTCTTCAAAAGCGTCAAACTTCGACCAAGTTTCAAAAGAGCCATTTTAATTTTAGCCAAATTTGACGTACCGTACCCTCTGTTCTTCTGGATCGTCTTTTTTATTTTTATATAGTGATATTATCTGAATATATATTTATAAAGCTAATAATAAAAATACTCAAAACGTCACGTTTACAACAGCTGAGTTTTTATCCGTAGCCTTCTGTACACCCTAAAATAGGTTCTGGCAGATAAATCGATATAACCTTTCTAATCAACATTGGCACTAATAAAAAAAAAAAAGAAATACGAGTTTATTTCAGTGCAGAAACGTCACCAGTAATTACTTTTATTTGATGAATCACAAGGATCCCAACTTGTTGGCACCCTCGACCTCGAAAAGTAATGATATATTCGCATTAATCTATACCTAAAGTATGAAGACTAATACTGTTTTTCTTGCAAAATTCCTTACGATGGCTAGCAATGCGGCCAGACAGACGAGGACGGTCAGGCACGGAAGTTCTTGTATATCCTGGTGGCTAAATGAAGTATTCGCATTGCAATTAAAAAAACAACGCAGTATTATGAACGTAAAACAGCCAAGTGCAGAAAAAGAAGTAGACTTTCGGTTCATGC